TCAGTGGTCGCCAACCCGTCGATCGCGATCGACTGGTAGATCTTTATCACTGTCCCAGTAGATCCCGAAAAAAACAGTAAAATAAGTACAAAAATGCATTACATTTCTGGGGTTATATTAATGTATCATTGAAGGGTACGGTCTGAGAAAAGTTTCGATGGCATTTTCTTCTCCGTATAAAGCGCAGCTCTGCTTTGTTTACAGCGGTAACCAAGGAAACGCTATAGTGCGCTCGGTTCATGTTACTAGAATATTAGTCGTAACATTTTAAGAATGATTTTGAAAGGTTTGGAGAATAAAGTAGTCATAAAATTAAGAGATTAAATGCATAGTATACCATGAATAAAACTGAAATAATTTAAGTAAAAAAAAAATAATAATAATTTTTTTTACTTATTTTTCCAATATTGTGTCTTTATTCTCAAAACTTTTTTTGATTTTATTCTCGTAAAAGGCCTATTAATAGATTTTCAAAATATTATGAATATTATGAAAATCTTGTTTGTTTGTTTTTTTGTATTTTAATATGCCATTAAAACATTTTTGTTGTTGGGTGATGACCCATAGAAATATACATTCACTTTTAAATGCAATAAAAATGTTATACTTGCTTTTTTATACTTGCAGATTATTCCCTCTGTTTCCCATCAATTTTTCCAAAGGAAGTTTGTAATGTGTTTTTTTTTATCGGCATGACCCACCTGGGAATAAAATATTTCACATCAGAGTTGCCACATAGAGATGGCATATACAGTAACAAACTAGATACTCCGTGCAGAGCAAATTTCTATATAGCGGCACTTCAGCAGTGCAGAGTAAACAGGAGTCAAGACAAATTCTCAAGCCACTGACACCTGGATGATATCTAATTTTCTCACACATTTTAAACACCTCTGTAGGCTCAAGCATCTACTGTAAGTCACAAATCTCGACCCTCTATCGCAGAACGGATTTCAGGTGTGAGGACATTAAACATTGCTGCTCCATCACGCCAATGTCACAGGAGCATTTTATCTGTACTAGTACAGTAGATTGCTAGTACACAATGTGTGTCTGAGAGTGTGTATTCATGAATCTATTTGTGCACTTCAATATAGTGAGTACATTTTATCTCGCATGCACATTCGCACATACATAGTTCTACATATGCCGCCATATAGGCTTGAAATAGATCAGACATCTGCGGTGCCATCAGAGAGGTGCTCTAAATTGATCATTGCATCGCATGAAGAATCCTATCTACTCATTAAACATGCCATGTTTTTACATGTGCACCAGAAGGATGGTGAAACGATTTGGAAAATGCATAAATCAAATCTAACGTGTCTTGTTATTTTTGTCCTGTATGTTTTTATTTTTGTGTGTGTTGTAGCCAAAAGCCCTGAAGCTGCTTGGAATGGAGGTGAGATTTATTTCTTAATCTCATGTATCCCACTGCTTTCCAATCAATTCCCCATAACGTGTCTTGTTATTTTTGTCCTGTATGTTTTTATTTTTGTGTGTGTTGTAGCCAAAAGCCCTGAAGCTGCTTGGAATGGAGGTGAGATTTATTTCTTAATTTCATGTATCCCACTGCTTTCCAATAAAGTCCCCACTGAGTTTCATTGAAACGCTTTCTTTAAGCTCTCCTTTGATTTAGAGGTTTAGATTCAAGTAGGTTCACAATGAAAAAATGCTCCTTGTATTGCATGTTCAGAGGTTTTCACAAAATCAATTTAAATACTGTAACTACCTACAATTATCATACATTTGTGTTTAATGGTCCTCTTACTATTAATAACCAGATTAAGGATATAAATTATAGGTCATTTATTGTCCTATTTTGCTATTTTAATATTAATATATTTTTATAATAATAAGTATATATAATATTTAATAACTAGATACAGTTGATAAGGGCAGATAGATTAATGCAATAATTATAATTTTAATAAATAAATAAATCATAATAATGTTGTTGCTGTTACATTTAATCAATAAATACTGCTGAAAAGAGCAAACCAGGGTGATAAATTACCTATAATTTACATTTTCAGTGGTGGTTATTGTTGTTTTTATAAGGAAAAAAATTAATTACTTAAAAAATCTCTATCATACAGGATGACATGCCCATTAGGCGAGGACGTCAGAAGACCACAAGGAAGCGAGAGGAGGAAGTAGACATTGACCTGGATGACCCAGAAATCAATTACTTCCCTTTCCCGTTCCATGAGCTGATGGTTTGGGCAGTGCTGATGAAGCGGCAGAAGATGGCACTGTTTTTCTGGCAGCATGGCGAGGAGGCCATGGCTAAAGCGCTGGTGGCCTGTAAGCTTTGTAAAGCAATGGCCCACGAAGCATCAGAGAACGACATGGTAGATGACATTTCACAGGAGCTCAATCAAAACTCAAGGTATGAATGTAAAGATGTGTTATGATGACCTAGTTACCTCAAGGATGAGCATTTAGATGAGGATTTCACCTGCATGTCCTGTTCCCATTGCTGGGCCTAAAAAGGTTGGTGACCACTGCACTAGAGGAATGACTGAGACACTTTTACAACATTGGTTGAAAATCAGTTTCAGACGTTTTATTTTGTTCTGCTTTGCTTTACTTTGTTTTGTTTAAAAAAAATAAAATATTTAGCAAGGATAGATTAAAAGTAACAGTAAATACTTACATATCAAAAATATTCTTTCATAAAAATGATTTTCGTTCTTTCTATTTTCTTAAAAACTTTCTATTCCTAAAAAATGTAAAGCAGGAAAAAAAATTTAAACAGCACAGCTGTTTTCAACTGTGACGATAATAAGAAATGTTTCTTAAGCGCCAAATCAGCATAGAATGACTAGAATACACTCTAAAAAATGCTGGGTTAAATATAACCCAGCGCTGGTCATTTATTGTCCTATTTTGCTATTTTAATATTAATATATTTTTATAATAATAAGTATATATAATATTTAATAACTAGATACAGTTGATAAGGGCAGATAGATTAATGCAATAATTATAATTTTAATAAATAAATAAATCATAATAATGTTGTTGCTGTTACATTTAATCAATAAATACTGCTGAAAAGAGCAAACCAGGGTGATAAATTACCTATAATTTACATTTTCAGTGGTGGTTATTGTTGTTTTTATAAGGAAAAAAATTAATTACTTAAAAAATCTCTATCATACAGGATGACATGCCCATTAGGCGAGGACGTCAGAAGACCACAAGGAAGCGAGAGGAGGAAGTAGACATTGACCTGGATGACCCAGAAATCAATCACTTCCCTTTCCCTTTCCATGAGCTGATGGTTTGGGCAGTGCTGATGAAGCGGCAGAAGATGGCACTGTTTTTCTGGCAGCATGGCGAGGAGGCCATGGCTAAAGCGCTGGTGGCCTGTAAGCTTTGTAAAGCAATGGCCCACGAAGCATCAGAGAACGACATGGTAGATGACATTTCACAGGAGCTCAATCAAAACTCAAGGTATGAATGTAAAGATGTGTTATGATGACCTAGTTACCTCAAGGATGAGCATTTAGATGAGGATTTCACCTGCATGTCCTGTTCCCATTGCTGTTGAGTTTTGAACTCTTGGGTCTGGAAGTTTGGGGAGACCATCTGTTATGCGCCAAACTGGCATCCCATCAAAGGCACAGTGACTGACCACAAAGACTTCTCTAAAATTCATAAAAACCTAATGTGAATGTTCTTTTAGCAATGGTGTTTGAGACTAGCTTATCCTGCTTCTACACCTAAAACAAGCTGTTGGTTTTTTGTGTGTGTGTAGAGGTAATCTTGTGTGTTTATGTGCATATAAATGTGTCTGGCACAGAAATTCCATCTTTTTTTTTCTTCTTTTTTTTTTATCCATAAGGGAGTTTGGTCAGCTGGCTGTTGAGCTGCTCGATCAGTCGTATAAGCAGGATGAACAGATGGCCATGAAGCTGTTAACCTACGAGCTGAAGAACTGGAGTAATGCCACCTGTCTGCAGCTGGCAGTGGCCGCCAAGCACAGGGACTTCATCGCCCACACCTGTAGCCAGATGCTTCTCACCGACATGTGGATGGGACGTCTGCGTATGCGCAAGAACTCTGGCCTAAAGGTCAGATTCAGGAGAAAGATGGCTGAGACCGTAGTCTCATTGATTTACATACAGTAATATCAGTTATTAATAACTGATATTACTAATAGTTATTAATTACTTAATAGTTATTAATAAATTCATATTAATATCAGAGTAAGAAGAGAGCTTACTCTGGGTTCATATGTTTTATATAGTATATGGTATATATTCAACATATATATATTTGGCATATATATGGTGAAACGGTCTGCCAAAGTGAGTCTTTCACAGCTGAATCTATCATTTGTGTTGTATTTACCAAGTCCTCATCAATATGAGACCAGCAACTGCTGTTTCAGCACTCTAATAGATTTCTTAATCACTAGTCTAATTATCATTCTTACTCGAGAGACACCAAAATGACAGGAACGTTTGCTGTCACGAGATGTGCAAATTAAATCGGTTGGCTATGTTCAGAAATGAAATTCACAAAGTTATGGAAAAATGCCTTGTTTTTAATGAAGGCAGTATCCAAATCTGGACAGAAAACAGCATACAAATGGGAAATGGTGGCATATACAATGGTAGAAAAATACAAAGGGATATTGACCCACAAAGTGAACTGACTAGTGGAGCCATATCATTCTTGGGACTTTTGAAAAGGACAGTTGGCGTTCTGCTGCTTCAGGATGTGAATGGATAAAATTTACATGATCGCCTTAGACTAGTCCATCAAAATTCTCGGAAACCATCCAATACCTTTTAAGAAGAATATACAGTGTTGTTCTTGTTGCAGCTCCTGATCAAATGTTTTCAACTGTGATAATAATAAGAATTGTTTCTTGAACACCAAATCAGCACAGAATTAAAAAATCAGGAATAAAGGCTGCTGAAAATTCAGCTTTGCCATTACAGGAATAAATTACCTTTTAAAACATTTTAAAATAGAAAACAATTATTTTAAATTGTAATAATATTCCTGTTTTTCTGTATGTTTTAGCAAATAAATGCAGCCGACCCCAAACAGTCAAAGCTTCGACCTTTAGACACACTGTCAGACAAACAGTATGCTGTATACTGTATATCAGTCCCTAAAAAAAACAAGCTGTGCAGGGCATCTCCTTGCGTTTCTGCATGAATTATTTCTGCCTTTGGTTCAGACCTCAGTGGTGATATTGGTGTTTCATGTCTCACAGGTGCTATTGTATCAAGAAAGAGTGAGACCGGTATTTCATCACCACAAGCATTGGAACTGGTCAACTGAGTACGAAATAATGAAAATAACAGTGGATTTTTTTCTTAAGCTCTGTGTTTGTTTGTTTCGTCCACCAGGTTATCTTAGGCCTTCTTCTGCCCCCCTCCATATTGAGTCTTGAGTTTAAAAATAAGGACGAGATGTCGTATATGCCTCAGGATCAGGACACCTACCTGCAGGAGAAGGATGTGGATGAACCTGAGAAACAAGCTAAGGAGAAAGAGGAGGAGGACATGGAGTTCACAGTAAGATCTTACTGTGAGACGCAGTACAACTCCGTGGTGAGAGCATCCACCTTAGCCTCGTTTCTTAGCTTGTAGTCTTAACACACACACACACACACACACACACACACATTTAGGCACACCTGCTCTGCTCTGTGAAAGTCCTACCCCCAATTTGGCCTCTCAAATATGCTTCCGGCTTTATTTTGTTGTTGTTCCTCAAGTCCGTGGTTCCTCTTCTTAGCGATCCGTACCAACCCTGCCGTTTTTCTGACTTCCCCACCCTACACCCTTCTCCCACTTCGCCCTTTTTTTTCCGTTCCTCGTTGTCAAAGCGAAGACGCGTGGTTGTGGAGTTGTAGCGTGTCTCCGTCTGCCTCTGTCCTTGTCTGCTCTCTGTTTCTTTACTTTTAGCAAGGGTCTCGTCTGAAGTACGGTACTGTGACTGAATGCTGCCTGTGTTTTTATCATTCACGCATCTACGACACCATTGTGCATGTTGAAGGCTTGTTTTGCATTATGTTAGCAGCCTTTATCTGACATCTCCATGACGACAACCTTCACTTTTAAGTTGAACGAGAAGTGCCTTCTTTCTTTCACAATAAAACTGCACGGATACTGTTGTTCAATCTTCCATTGTGAACTATTAAGTGTTGCTCTAAAGCAGTAGCTCTTGAACTTTTTCAGGTGCGGACCACATAAACAGCCCCAGATATGGTGGAGAACAACAACTAATGTACAAATTAGCCTTTTTTTAAACTTAGGGTTAAGTTTTAACCTTTATCTTGAAATTGTCTCAATTTTACGGATCCATAATTTTGTTATTTTGTTGAAATTACCCATAGTGCTATGTTTAGCTAATCAGCCCAAATGAGCCGTGTTTGCTAACAAAGAAGTTAGACTGAAAAATTACACTACATTACAAACTTTTTTTATGTTCACCAATGAACAGTAAAATTTATTTTATCAAGGTACAATCATAAACATTGTAAAATATTACAATTATTTGAAAAGGTTTCTTTTTTTAGATATTTTAAAATAAAAATGTGACCTGCAATTGCAAATCCCTGTTTTCAGCCATTACTCCATTTACTAACAAAAAAACTTGTTAAATATTCATTAGGAGATTCTTCTGATGTGTAAATTTGGTAATGGAAAACTTTTCTTATTAATAGTAGTCTAAAATGATTGTGCTGCTTAATGAAGTGTTTAAATGGTAGTCTCTTTTTTTTTTTTCAGTTGTTGAAGTATTGAGTACACTTGCATTTCTTGCATGTCACTGTACACTTTGAAGTCAAATTTCATTTTTAAAAATAGCCAAACTCAAAAATGTCTTTCTAGAAACACACCAATCTGTTGTTCTTTTGAGAGATGAAGGCTGTTCTGTACACCGACTAAACAACACAGAGAGACTTGGATTGGCCCAGATGAACAAGATGAGGAGTACATCAGTGTTATACCAGTGCAGTCTTATAAATATCTCATAAACTGATGACTAGAATGAATAAGCTCTCAGTGCTGCACAGGACAAACAGAGAGTTTGAATAATAAAGAAGTCATATTAAATTAGATTGGTCATTTGTGACATTTAAATATCAGTATTCTTTGATCAATTTAATGCATCATAAGTGTCCATTTCTTTCAAAAACATTGAAATGTCTTGGGGTCAGTAACAAAATGACAGCAAAGACATTTGTAATGTCATTAATAATAAGTTCAAAATAGTAGCATTTATTTCAAATAGAAATCTTTTATTAAAAAATAATTGTTTCCACAAAAATATCAAGCAGCACAACTGTTTTCGACATAAAATATTTGATGATAATAATAAGAAATGTTTCTTGAGCACCAGATCAGTATATTAGAATGATTTCTGAAGGATAATGTGGCACTGAAGACTGGAGTAATGCCATCATAAGAATAAATGACATTTTACAATATATCGAAATAGAAAACCAAATTTACTTTTACTTAGTTACTTTTACAAAATTACTTATTTTGTCTTTTATGATGAGCATAAAATACTTTTTTTATTCAAACATATTTAAAAATCTTATCAAACCTCTGAACAGTAGTTTAACATTATAAAAGAAAGACAACATCAACAACAAAAAAACTTTACAGATCAATTTTAACCGCCAGTTACAGTAATTCATTGTTTTGACTTTATGAATAAGTCAATTAATTCAGTGTTGGTGCTTTCTGTCAATTACATTGTTATTTATTTAGTTTTAAATCAGCCAATCAACTCGTGGACCACTTGGAATACTCTACAGTTTGAGAACTACTGCTCTAAAGAAACAGGTCAGCCCAAGACACTAGTTTAGAAATGTAGTCCTGGAGTCAAAACAACTGAGAAGGACTACAATTCCCAAAACGTGACTGGGTTGACCTGATCTTATACAACACGGTTCCAAAAACTGAAGCTTTACCCCTCACTTCACTGTGAATATACTATATGTGAGGTTACAACACAAGATGACAATTGTATTGCAATTTATCTGAATGCTCTTCCAGAAAGTGCACTGTAATTGCAATAATTCTCTGATGCAACATTGAAACGCCTGTGTCAAAATTAGATCTTCCTGTGCATAACATAAGCTGTGAAATAAACTGTTTTCATTGCATTTAGATTGATAGTGTGTAGTCTGTAAGACTGTAGCTCAACCAAATACCTTCGACAGCAGAAAAGTTGTTGCAATACAATTCTGCCATGATGTCCAAGAGTGCACCATATTTTTCCATTTACGGGATAAGCTCCCCACTCTTGGATTAAGGATGTGTGCAAATAACCCATGACACTGGGCATTTTCATTCCTCTTTTCTTTCTTCCTCTCTCTCTCTCTCTCTCTCTCTCTCTGGCATACACTCTCTCTTTCTCTTTTTCCACACGACCATTCCCAGCAGAATCATCAATGCCCAGTTCATAGTGAATATCTCACCTTCCTCAGCGCTCAGTATTGCTTTGCAGTGTTTGAAACAGCTGCATGCAATTCTGGGTGAGAAGTCACACTATGTAAATGGTGTGTAAAAGTAATGTTTTCTATCTTTCTCCTCTTTCTATCCTCTGTACTTTTCCCAGGCTATGCTGGGAAACGTCAGTTCAGAAGCGTCACGTAAGAAACAGGTGGAAGAGGTTCAGAACCGTCATCGGCTGATTCCTGTGGGTCGCAAAATTTACGAGTTTTACAACGCCCCTATCGTCAAGTTCTGGTTTCACACGGTAAAGCCCCAGCTGTGCCCTTATTTAGTATAAAAAGGCATACAGTATTGTTCAGTGTGTTTAGAATATCAAATCTATACGAACATCAAAATACCTTGTGTGTGAATTCTTCAGAGAAATGTCCTCTGAAAGCTTTCACTTGCAAAGAAATTCATATCAGTAGATTCCATATCAAGTCCAGGGGGAAAATGTTCAAATGCAGGCAAGTAGAGATCAAAACAGCTGAGATTTTTTTTTATTTAGCCTCATCTATGTTTTAAATATAGGCCATGAATCTGTCAAATCTCCAGGCTCCTAAAGATGAAAAATTCTGCTTTGTGTGCTGTGTGTCTTCATTATTTACTCGCTCTTTTTTCTCTCGTTGCTCGTTCTCTCTTGCTCCCATCACACTGTCACGTTGTAGTGTTTACACTGAACAGTATTTCTGTTCTCTGCTGGTGAGAGTGTCAATCTTTCTACCGTTTTCACCAAAAAAAAAAAAAAATGTTGCAAAAAAAAGAAAGAGCATCCCTAAGACACCAGTCAGAACTCAAACATTTATTTTACTGCAACATCTTCTGTAGCTACTGCTTCTTTCTCTGTGCAATAAAGTAGAAGAAGTATAAAGAAGATGCATTACAAGCATAAATGCTTCCTAATGTCCCTAAAATTTAAACCATGGATCCTTGAAAATATCAGCCTGATGGTGTTTTCATGACTGATTTTGAAAGACAACATGCATGTGTAAATTGGGAAAGAAAAAAAGGAATTTTATTAATATAAAATCGAATCAAATTCTAACTGGGAAACACAAAAAATCAACTAAAAATACATTTTCATGACTGAAACTAAAATAAAATAAAAAAGACCAATAATTAATTTTAGTTATATTTTTTTTTATACATGGTGTATTATATAACTTAAAACCTTTACAACCTGCCTGTATTAAACATGAACATGTTACCAGATGGCAATATTGCTAGACTGTGTTAAGAAATTTAATGCTGTAAAACATTTATAAATACTACCAGTAAGCACATTAACTCTGGTAGCCCAAAAACCTGAAAAATACTGAAACTAGAAACTGAAAAACTAAACAAAACCTAACAATGATAGAATGAAAACTAATACGATTTATTGAAAAATAAACTAAGATACAATACCATTCAAAGGTTTTGGGGTTGGCAAGATTTTTTAATGTTTTTGAAAGAAATGTCTTGCGCTAACAAAGGCTGCTTTTATTGGATCAAAAATACATTAAAATCAGTAATATTGTGAAATATTTTTACAATTGTAAATAATTATTTTCTGTTTGAATATATTTTTTAAAATGTGACTGCAAAGCTGAATCTGCAGCAGTTACTACTTCAGTCTTCAGTGTCACGTGATCCTTCAGAAATCATTTGAATATGCTGATTTACTGAAAAAAGTATTAATTTAAAAAATCTTACTGAACCCAAACTTTTCAACAGTAGAGTACATTGAAAATTAAATAGAAATAGAAATCGAATTAAAAAAAATTGGAAATTCAGAAGTGTAATAACCTTGGTGTAAGTAAAACTTAATCACAGTCGGAATGATGATGTATTCTCACTGTTTCACTTCTTCACTGTTTTCACTAAAATGGACCAAAGTGTTTTTTCCCCCTAATCATGATGCTGTCTTCCCACAGTTGGCTTATGTAGGATACTTGATGCTCTTCAACTATATTGTTCTGGTGAAGATGGACCTGTGGCCCTCTCCTCAGGAGTGGATTGTTATTGCCTACATTTTCACCAATGGTATCGAGAAGATGAGAGAGGTGAGACTTCATTAGACCTCAGTGAGCAAAGAAAATTGTTTCCTTCGATCCCTGAAATGTGGGAAAAGATTCATTATTATTATTCATAAGCAATGTCTAATAATTAAATTTACATATAACTACAGAGCTGCTATTCAGTTAGAAACTCCAAAATGTGAACTGTATACAGTCTATTACTGCCCTCTTGTGGAAATCAGTAATTGCAAATACTTTTGCTTTGTGGAGTTATGTCCCTGGTTTACGGTTGTTTTGAAAAGTTCATTTGCCCAATATATCCATCTTGAAATATCACCATTGTCAACTGCATTTTTAAATATGTTAAAATAGAAAACTGATTTTAAATTGTAAAAATATTTCAGAACATTCTTGTTTTTACTCTGTTTTTGGTTAACCATTTTGAAAAGGTCATTTGTCCAACATGAAGGCTTTGACTTCACCTGTCTCTCAGATCCTCATGTCAGAGCCGGGAAAGCTCCTGCAGAAGGTGAAAGTGTGGCTGCAGGAGTACTGGAACATCACTGACCTCATGGCCATCCTCATCTTCTCCATCGGGATGGTGCTTCGCCTGCAAGACCCTCCACTGATGAGCTACGGGAGGGTCATTTACTGTGTCAATATCATCTATTGGTACATAAGACTGCTTGACATCTTTGGAGTGAACAAATACCTGGGTCCATACGTCATGATGATTGGCAAGATGGTGAGGGAGACTGATAGAGCGCTTTAATAATTGCAAAATGTTTTATGGTTAAAATGGTTTCTAATGGTCTTATTCCCTTCCTTTCCACCCTCTTCGGGTGAACATAGATGATTGACATGATGTATTTTGTGATCATCATGTTGGTGGTGCTGATGAGTTTCGGAGTGGCGCGGCAGGCTATCCTCAATCCCAATGAGGACCCGTCCTGGATGCTGGCACGCAACATCTTCTTCATGCCATACTGGATGATCTACGGAGAGGTGTTTGCTGACCAAATCGACCGTAAGGCTGGCTTATTACTAACATTTACCTTGGGTACAGGCATGGGCGTTTTGGGTATACTCGATTTCACACTCAAGCACAGCACCTCAGGCTTTACATCTCATTACTGGTCAGCTTGTATGAATAAATGTGGAGAGCTGTTCTCTGATAGAACAAAGGTTCCCAAAGATATGATGAATATATATGATGAATGATAGTTGTGCTTGTGTGTGTGCTTTTAAATGGTCTCATATTCTGTAAATGGCTGCACTTATATTGTCATTACAGGATGATATGGATCAATGCTGCTGTTTCAAAATAGTCTTATGTGTTCACTGTAAGACTGCAGATGGAGAAGAATCACCAACAGACTGAATGAGAAAAACACTCCTAACACACAATATTTCATTTTTAAAAATTATCAGTATATTTTGATGAGATATTTACCTTTTAGAATTTGTGATTTTATATCAAAGCATAATGATGGTAGAATTGAATCAGGCTGTATTATTCATGCCCAGGGCAGAAGATGAAACTGAGCTCTTAACTGAACCATATCTAACCCTATGCTCTTAACGTTTGATTTTGTTTTTAAAGGGGTCATATGATGCGATTTCAAGTTTTCCTTTCTCTTTGGAGTGTTACAAGCTGTTTGTGCATAGATAAGATCCCTAAAGTTGCAAAGACTAAAGTCTCAAACTCAAAGAAATATTCTTTATAAAAGTTAAGTCTCGTCCACGCCCTCCTAAAACGCCTCGTTTAAACACGCCCCCACATGTCTACGTCACTGTGTGGGAAGATTTGCATAACACCGCCCAACTGTTCACGCAAAGAAAGAAGGCGTAATTTTGATTCTCGTGTAGTATCGTTGCCGCCGCCGCCATGTTGTGGAGACGCTGTGTGTTTTGTTGTGAAAGTGAAATTACTTTCTTTGGCCTTCCAAAATTGGACACAACTAGAAATCAGTGGTGAAGTTGTATTTACAACACTGTTCCAGAACAGTTCAAACCAAATATTCGTGTGTGTGCAACGCATTTACCGAAGGACTGTTTCCTGAACCTACAATGCCGGCTGTTCAGACTCACAACCTGTAAGTATGTTTCCATATTTAAAGAATTTGCCACTGATGATTCAAACGCGAGTTTTGAGCAGTGTAGATTAGCGCTTGTTTGTCGTTTCTCCGATCACAAATGCAGACAAATTGTTTTATGTTTACGCGGCGCAATACGCAACGCAATGCGTAAAAAGACAATACAAGTCGTTATAATCCTTAATTATGTCCCCACTGGATGCAACAAATGCCTCGTTTAAACACATTGCATTACACCAAATACCATCATGTGACCCCTTTAATATTAAAGCTAATAATAATAAAAAAAATAATCTTGCAGCCCTCGTGGAAGTTTGCTGTGGACCCACAGTTGAGAATAATTATGTTAGAGCATTGGAGTAAGTTGGAGTATTTCCCTGGGATGTATAATGTACTTCTGATGTCATTTTTGATACTAACAGTCAACAATAAGATGTTTTGATGTTTTTGAAAAAGTCTCTTATGCTCACTAAGGCTGCATTTACCTAGTCAAAAATGCAGTAACAAAAAGTATTGTGAAATATTATCAGAATTTAAAATAACTTTTTTTATTTTACTATATTTTAAAATGTAATTTATTCATGTTTTGTCAAAGCCAAATCTTCCAGCCATTACTCCAGTCTCCAGTCTTCAGTGTCACATAATCCTTCAGAAATCATTCTAATATGCTGATTTGGTGAACAAGAAACATTTCTTTTTATTAACAATGTTGAAACCACTGATAATAATGCTTAATGCTTAATTAAGCAATATTATCAATGTTTTAACATTATATTAATATTAATGCTTAATATTTTGTGGAAACCATGATATATTTTTCCCCACTATTCTTTGATGATACAGTAGCATTTATTTGAAATATAATTTTTTGACAATCACTTACTGCATCCTTGCTGAATAAATGCATTAATTGCTTTCAAAAATAGGTCAATCTTATTCACCCCAAACTTTTGAACAGTGAAATATTTAATATATAGTTAAAAAATTTAAATATGATTTGAACCATGCATCGGACTGAATAAAAGAGAGTCAAATGACAGTCAGAAAGATACATACAAAGGGTGAGCCTATTTCAAAGTGGCAATTATGATCAGAATGAATGATTCTACCTACTTCTAGGTTATTATGAATAATAAAGATGTTTGACTTGTATATTAATTACCCTGTAACCCATCAGGTTTCGATGCAGTAATGTTATTTTCTCTGGTCAGATTTCTGCCTGAAATAAATCAGTACACTCATAGTAATGCAGTGCATCAGTCACGTGGACTTGTGTATGAAGTGTATGCTGTAGAGTTTAAGCATGTCTTTGTGTTTTCTCATTAAGTAGTGTGTTTGCTTGGTGTCTGCATACTGTCGATTGTTTGTTTGTGTGTGCTGAGAGATGGATGGCCCAAAGATAAGAGAGCTGAAATAACGCTTTCGTTCTTTGTTTCAGATGTGAATAGTAGGAAGCTACAGCACAAAGTGAATGACAAACTCTGGCTGGTCGAAAATTACATTCGCACTCAAGGAACTGGGCGTAACATTGGTCCATCGCATATAGGCAATTTCCAATATATAAATTCTGCTAGAATTATCTCAGTTACAGAACCATAATATTTTCACGGTCATATCATCACCTCATCTCCGCCCCCCTGGTGGTCATTGAGTGTGTGACACCCCTGCACGGCACTGCAAGGCTAATGGCCAGGTTTCCGTGGTGGGGCAAATGTTCAAGGTGCTATGCCAGCTAAATTGTTTTTTAAAAACCCTATCATGGAAACTGGAAACTTGGATAACGCTAAAGTCACCATCATGAACCTCCCACAGCCAGCTAGCACTGACTGACGTCCCATTACTCTGATGGTACTTCAGAGTCAGTGTAATTTCCTTCTCATTTCACAATGTAAACTGAACTTACCAGTGGAAAACCTACTGGTTTGATATTACGTGTTATGCATATCTAATAGAGCATGAGCATCTGTGCCCATTTGCGTGTCCTCAAATAAGCTCCAAATACTCAATGCTTCTGGAAAGACCATCTCATATGTCCACTGTACATCCTTTAACAACAAGATGCATTTGCCTCCTCTCATCAATATGAAAGTTTTTTCACGTGGTTCAGTTGTCAGAGTTTTTGGCAGAATAAATTTGGAATTTAAAAAAAATTAAATGAAAAATAATTGCGAATTTAAGATAACCCATGTTACTTCAGTTCTCTCACTTTGGGCTTCTGAGTGTGATTTTAAATATTGAAACTAGTAAATGTACTCACAAATATGTACATTAATATGAACCTGACTGACTTTCCTCTCTTTGAAAGCTACAGCAACTGAACCATCCCATTTGGAAAAAACGTATGATGTATTGTCAATACATTCTAACCTGCGCTACAAGCAACCATCAAAAAGACTGCTGTACATTCAATATCAATATATTTTAAACATTGCATATGTTTAAATATATTGGGGATGCAATTTGACATATGGAATATATTTGAATTTCACAACTTGGTGCATATAGTCTTTCCATTCAGTTTTTATCCACAACCCACTTTTGACTGGTTCTTTGATTTTGGTGTTTTTGCGCATGTGTCAGAGAGGGAGAGAGAGAGATTGTCTATTTTCTAAAGTGACCGTAATTGCTAGTTGTTTGTTCATTTAAATTTCGGCAACACTCAGTTGTATGTTTATTTTAACAGCTCCATGTGGCCAGAACATCACCACAGAGGAAGGAGTCATCGTGCCTCTCCCACCCTGCAAAACCGGTGCTTGGATTGTTCCCGCCATCATGGCCTGCTACTTGCTGGTGGCCAACATCCTTCTGGTTAATTTGCTCATTGCTGTCTTTAAGTAAGTTGAATTAATATTTATATTTTATGTGGTTTTCTAAACAATGGACAAACCTTTTAATGACAAAATATTACTTATTACTTACAAATACCAGCCTTTTGACTAATGGTGCAATTAAGTTTTTTCCAGTGCTTTGCAGATTTGTTTGCACTATGCATCAGGTAGTCAGCAAACAGACTGTGGAGGGTTAATGAGCGCACCTTTTCAAGCTGAGCTGACTAAAACAATGTTGTCTTTTATTCTCACAGTAACACATTCTTTGAAGTGAAGTCCATCTCCAACCAGGTGTGGAAGTTCCAGAGGTACCAGCTGATTATGACCTTCCATGAACGGCCTGTCCTTCCCCCTCCTCTCATCATTTTCAGCCACATAACTATGGTCCTCAAACACCTTTGCTGTCGCTGGAGGAAACATGATGAGGATGAGCGGGACTATGGGCTGAGTGAGTGATAAAATGCTGTTGTAATATCCTGAAAGCCTCAAAATGACAGCAGGAGTCATTTTGATTTCTCAGATCATACAGCTAATGAGAGTGAAACCAACTCATGTCGACTTAAAGATTCTCTTTGATACCATCTTTTGCCAAACATGATTGTTTTGTAATAGTGAGACATTTCTGTTCGAAATCATTAACTTTTACATACAGTATATGTTGCACAGCATGCATACTGCATATTAATAAGGTATGGAAACTAATATACTGGATTACAGTGTGCTGAAGACACGGTTTAAAAATGTTCAAATAAAAATAAAAGTTAAATGAGACCGAAAACACTTGGACTGCACTGTTATGCTATGAAAAAATGAATGACTGACAAAAAACTCTCCCCCGACAGAGCTCTTCATTACGGAAGATGAACTGAAGAAGGTACATGACTTTGAAGAGCAGTGCATGGAGGAGTATTTCAGAGAGAAAGATGACCGCTTCAATTCCTCCAATGATGAGAGGATACGTGTGACATCTGAAAGGTTACAACATTTCAGACAACACAACAGAATGTTAACACTTTAAACTGTATTTCAAACCAGATGTCTTCAAGCATTTTATGGCAAGGACCCTCAATTATGATCACCCCCTTGCAAAGTATCCCCTTCCTAAAATATAAAGGCAGCTATATATATTTTTCTGCATACAGACCCATGTATGGTTTATGAGAAAAAATATTAAGAATATTAAGTTGTGTTCAGAGTTATTTAATTGGCTTTTACATGGTCACTAAAGCCCAAGCCAATTAAAATTAGAATGACTTTTTATTCTAACCATCATTGGAGTAATTTTAGATAAGCCTGACGAGAAACCTTTTAGTTCAGTTCAGATTTATTTTTAAAGTTTTTTTTTCACAAATATATGTCATTCCATGTGCATTAAATATATCTAATAAATATTTAAGTGTGACATGTTAACTTTGAGAACCCTGAAAATTCATTTTGTAAACTCATTTTCTTTTCTCTAAAATTTTCGGCAAGCCCTTTAGCACCCTCTTGTGGCCTCCGGGGGTCCCTGTACCCCAGTTTTCATTCAAATGTACACACATACAAATGATATTTAATTATAAATAAAATACAAATAAAATAATGTTCATCACTGTTAATAAGCACTTAATTATGTACACTACTGTTCAAAAGTTTGGGGTTGGTAAGATTTTTGTTTTTGAGCCTCTCATGCTCACCAGGGCTACATTTACAGTATTTGAACAAAAATACAGTAAAAACAGTAATATTGTGAAATTCTATTTCAGTTGAATCAGTTAAATACATTCTAACTGAATAAAAGTATTCATTGTTTAAAAAATACTGATTCCAAACTTTTGAACAGTAGGGTATTTAGTGTAACATAAACACTAGTGTGTGAAGTTAATAGTTGTAGATTTTCGTAAATGGCCTCAGGAATACTCATGAAATTGTCTAATCTCTGATCACTCAGGGTGGAGAACATGGCGATGCGTCTGGAAGAAGTGAACGAGAGGGAACATTTCATGAAAGCGTCCCTGCAGACTGTGGATATCCGGCTCGCCCAGATGGAGGAGATGATCGGCCGCATTGCTGTGGCACTGGAACGAGTTGCTGGTATGGATCGAGGCGAAGTCAACAAAGCCCGGTCCAGGACATCATCTGACTGCACAGATACAAATTACATTCTGCGCCAGAGCAGTTTCAACAGCCAAGAAGGCAATTCCTACAGGCTACAAGAGTCTCTGGAGCAGGGTGGTGAGGAATCCATTTACCCTACATCTCCGACCGCTCTGGCCCCACGTGTCCGCAGTCACTCCTTCTATGCAAGCCACTCCTCCAAAGATAGGAGCGGAGCAGATCGAGGAGAAGGCTTCTTTAAAGACAGACTGTTCAGCCTCCATCGGGCCAACAGCTCACAGTCTGTGTCCTCAGGAGCAGGTCCCAAAGAGTCCAAGCCCACACCTTTGAATACTTTATCTGTGCAGCAGCAGCTTCGCCCTTCTTCCTGCATAGACATCTATGTTTCTGCCTCAGAGGACGTCCCGCCCAATGAGAGCTTCTTGGAGCCGGTCCGGACAGTTCCATCTCTCGCTCGAGACTCATCTCTCCATTCTGAGATCATGGAGGTGGTGCTCTCAGGGGGGCGGGACTGCAGCAGAAGGGCAGGGGGCAGCGAAAGACAGTCGGATGGTACAGTCCTGTTTGAGGATAGTGCCGCCGCTGACCTATCGCTCTGCTCTGCCCACCTGCTGCCGGATACCTTGCCCCCCTGGGACATGGACCCCTCGCCGCCACCATCGGCTGGCGTTCTCGAGCGGTCCAAGAGCAGCCACTTCCTGTCTGCAGCAGGGCCTCTGTTTCTGGACGAGCCGCCATTGGTTAAGTCGCACAGCCTGATGTTTACGTCACGTGGCTACTATGGCGGCATGGGCGTGCAGGTGAAGGCGGCCGAATATACCAGCATAACAGATTGCATCGACACCCGTTGCGTCTCTACCCCTTACCCTGTCCCAGAGAGGTCTGACTCCCCTGGTGGCTCTTTCACGTTCGATAAGCCCCAGGACCTGGGCGTCTCACACCCCGAGAGAGACGCCGAGCTCAGTCACGCAGAATCTGATCCGGAGGAACCCGCAGAGGGGTCAGCAGACACAGGTAAGGGGGGTCAAAGCAGCAGTGGGGGAACAGGCGCAGACCTGGGCTTGGGCCTTGCGCTGGGCCCGTTTTGTTCGCCGATTTCTAGACTAGAGCGAGCAAACAGCTGCTCCTCTTCGGAGGAGTCCCACTCCAACATCTACTCCCGAAAGAGCTTCTCCATTAGTGAGAGAATGGACAAGGGTCGTGGAAGCTCAAGGAATCCTTTCCAGAAGGCCAGAGCCGGGGCAAGGCTGGAGGGTAAGACAGACTCGCTGTCCATGAGGAAACTGGCCAAACCCTCGGCGTTCCAAAGTTTTGACGGCAGACACAATTACACGTGATAATGGCATACCAGTAGTGATGCCACTGTAGATCTAGTTCCTGTAGGATGGCTCTACCTCGTTTAAAATCCAAGGGCCAGTCCGTTAATTAGTACTGTCTGAGTGAGTAATTAGCTGTACACTGGAATGTTTTATCATGGGTATCAACTTTTCTGTTATAACACTGCAATGCAAAGTGTTCTTTAGAATTCATAGACTCAGAAGATGACCACTGCCCTTAGGCCAACATTAGTTCCCAGCTGGGGTGAAAACCTTGAGATTAAGGGCCTGTTAACACTAAGATGAATGTTCAGTATGAAAAAAAATGTCATTTGAGTGAACGGCTGTTAATGCAGAATTTTATTTTTTGAGAGGTTTCCAATATCTTTTTCACTGCACAGCAAAAAAAACAACAAAAAAAAAACTGGCCAACCAATAAGCTTTTTGGTCACATGCCCACAGCCACCGCTGTTACATAAACTACAACTTAAGGGGTGGTCACAATACACTTTTCATTCCACTGACTTCCATTCATATGCAAGCGAATGAAGACGCAAAAAAATTTGCTGCCTTCCCAAGTTCAAGTTTGGTTAACTCTGATATGCAACCAATAGAAGATCGGAATGTAATGGCATGACCTTGTAGCTGAATTAAAAGAACATACATTTTTAAGTGTTGAATTTAAGATTTTTAAAAGACACTTCAGAGTGTGACATCATATCACGACAGTTGTAGTGTCTGAAGAAATGTTGTATGCTCAAAGTGAGACCTTGGCTTTAGTGGCGCTCAGCAACAGACTATTTTGCAGATCCTTCCTCTGATATATACTGTTGCTTTGGAACCACCGTTTGGCTCTGTACTCCTGTATTTGGTGTTGTTTGATAAACACCATAGCAAATTAAAGGGGTGGTTTACTGTTTTTTTTGTAGGCTTGATTGTGTTTATGGGGTGCAGTCTAACATGTGTTAATGCTTCGTTTTTAAAAAAACGCATTATTTTTCACATAATTTAACTTTATCCCACACCGCTCTGTCCCTTCTCTCAGAAACACCACTGATATATACTGTTGCTTTGGAACCACCTTTTGGCTCTGTACTCCTGTATTTGGTGTTGTTTGATAAACACCATAGCAAATTAAAGGGGTGGTTTACTGTTTTTTTTCTAGGCTTGATTGTGTTTATGGGGTGCAGTCTAACATGTGTTAATGCTTCGTTTTTAAAAAAACGCATTATTTTTCACATAATTTAACTTTATCCCACACCGCTCTGTCCCTTCTCTCAGAAACACCACAAACAACATCTCTCAGGAAACTCATTTCCTTCTTTTATGAAGCCCCTCCCTCAGAAATAGGCAATGGGCTCTGATTGGTTAGCTAGCCCAGTGTGTTGTGATTGGCTAAACCGCCTCTAGTGCGCGTCTGAACGTCCCGCCCCTCACCTCAGTGGCATGTGCTCCGGTTGTATTGTAAACAATGGCGTCGTTAATATCGCTTAGCAGTTTGAGCCGATTGAGAAGCAGAGGATATTATTGAGGAGGATCGTGCAGAACCTGTTCAAGCACGCTTTTAATGGTAGACCTATGTTTTTTGTTTGTTGTTGTCTCATACTTTTAGATAAGCAGTAGTATTTACAAATAACAGCATATGTTAGCTTTTAATATACGGCTTTATCCTGATTAAAGCTTTAATACAGTTTTGAATGGCTGTTTGAAAACATGAAAATATAAATACGAAAAATTTGACTGTGTGACAGGTGAGCTTCAGAAATGAGAAGTATTCATTAAAAAAGCATTTTATGTACCAGGGTAACTTTTCTCCTTGTTTATAAGCGCCACCTACGGTCAGGGAATGATTTTGTATTTTCATTCAGCCTGCCTGCCATTTTTTGCATAGGTCTGAAAAGACAAATTGCACTTGAAACTGAATTTTTGTGCTGAACATTTGTGTTGGTGTGAACAGGCCTTAACACAACCTTGCAATGCAAATTACTGTTTTAGCTTAGATGAGTCACCCTCGACACAGCATGAATCATGCACTCTCTTCATAGACTGTGTATCTCTACAGGTCAGATAGAGTGATGGTTTAATTCCAAAACAATTGAAATGTAAATGAAAACAGGACTTTTGACAGTTACAAAATGTAATGCTCAAGTTTGTTGTGTATACAAAGATTTGTTCTGTCAACCCACACACTAGATTAGTTGAACATACACATATCTTCCCTAAGATGTTGAATGTAGAGTATAATTGGTTTTATGATGACAAGATTAACCCTTTGGAGCCTTGAAATACTTCTCGGCCCATGTGGGTGTATACATCTGCATTCAGAAAGCTTCATAATCATACAGCAGACAGTAACGTTATATGAGGTGTCTGAATACAGCATAAGTTTGTGCACAATTTCCACTCTCACTGTTAAACAGATAAGAGATTTTAAAGCGTTAAATGATCATGTTTTGTCTTTTGTAGTTTGTATTGTTCAAAATATATCACAGCAGGGCACCCATTTGAGTATATCTAAAAAAAAAAGTAACCAGCTGAACCCTACACTAACAGCATGTTTGGTATGGAATGCTAGTTTACTGCTAACTGCGCTGTATAAACTGTATACTGCATACTATTTAATAATAGTATGTGGAAGAAGTAAACAGTATATGATGATAAATGTTTCAAACAGTAGTATGCTGCATTGTTGTCACAAAACATGTCTATATTGCAAGTTCAATTTGGAAATACCTATTTAACTCAATTTTATGTCAAAATTTTAAAGGGTTCATATGATGCTTTTTTAAAGATCATTATTTTGTGTATTTGGTGTAACAGAATATGTTGACATGCTTTAATGTTCAAAAAACACATTATTTTTCAAATACTGTACATTATTGTAGGTCCTCTATGCCCCGCCTCTCTCAAACGGAAAGGAAAACTTGAAATCGCATCATATGACCCCTTTAAACTCCTATTGAACAGTCAAACACATTGAATTGTCGCCTACAGTATTATGCAGTGTGTTCAGGTTGTATCCTGCAGGTAGCAGGTAATTTTAAGTATTCCCATTCATACAAAAAAGTGCTGCAGTGGCAAAATATATAGTAGTGTGATCGTATAAGTGATCATATAAGTGTATGTTGTTTTACACAGAACAGGTAATATACAGTGGGTACGGAAAGTATTCAGACCCCCTTCAATTTTCTTGCTATGCAAGACGCCACAGAGAGTCAGTCAATTAGTAAAAAGTGTTATGCACTTTAAAGCAGGAGTTCATTATGCACACCAGTCTCATCATTAATCAACCTGATAGTGCAGTGATTCATTTGGAAAGATATTAAAAGCACATCAGCGCAGTTGAGACAGGGACCCCTTCAATGTTAAATATGTCTTTCTCTGTTAATATGTTAACATTACGGAAGGACATAATAAACACTAGTACATAATATTCTCTTCTTTCAGCGAGTTATATGCCTTGGCAATTTTCTTCCTCTTTTATGGTTAATCAAGATATATATTTATGTTTGGTTTATTGTTTATAATGAAAAAAAAATGTATCATAGTGGGCATTCAGAAGGATAAGGAGATCTGACTTGTCCGTTTTTAAAAAATGGCATATAAATCAATCAATCAATCAGTTTAATTAAAGTGAAGTGAAGTGAAGTGACATGTGGCCAAGTATGGTGACCCATACTAGGAATTAGTGCTCTGCATTTATCCCATCCAAAGTGCACACACACACCGTGAACACACACCCAGAGCAGTGGGCAGCCATTTTTGCTGCGGCGCCCGGGGAGCAGTTGGGGGTTCGGTGCCTTGCTCAAGGGCACCTCAGTCGTGGTATTGAAGGTGGAAGAGAGCGCTGTACATCCCCCCACCTACAATCCCTGCCGGTACTAGACTCGAACCCGCACCCTTTGGGTTATGAGTCCAACTCTCTAACCATTAGGCCACGACTTCCCCCTAAGTAGAACAATTACTACTCGACAATACTCTGTTTTAAATTGTTGTTTAACTTAAATCAAATGAAACAGTGCCGTTTAAAGCAATACACAAATGTGCTTTGTATCTCTGGCATAATTCCAGTGTACTATTCAATGTAGTCACTTTTTAGTAAATGAATTACTCCAGCCATTCCGTTTGCACCACATGTATCACTCGTAGGATGTATTATATTTGCCTTACCGATGTGCAATACTGCTAAGAGATTTGAAAACATTTATTACAGTCACAGTGTTCTGAGATGTAGAAATGTACACTTGGTGTTAGAGCTTGTACTGTATGTGAACCAAAAGCGAAATACTAAAAGACATTATTTTATTTTTTGTGCATAGCAGTAATTTTAATCACTGTGGTTTTCAAATATCCAATGATCTTAATATCAATATTAGTACGACATTCACTATGTTAATCATATTAGCTTCATTTTGTATGATTTCAAGCTTGATTTTCTATTTGGGCCTGCTGTCCTTCACAGGGAAGGAGCTAACACTTCTACAAGGTGATTATACTGCAATGAGCCTTAAATTGGAGGTAAAATGAACACGTGAACAATACATGGGCCCTTAAAACATGCTGTATTCTTTTGGATTATGTCTTTTAACAAACCCTCTTGTTGGACTGGTTCCAGCAAAAGAAGATGGAGAGGGCATTTGATTTTCTAAGTTACTGAATGCAAGTTTATCTCACTATCCTCTGTTTTGTTAAGAGTTTTTGTTTGGGATAGAAGAGCAAGCATATTTATGAGACTTGTTTTTCCACATGTAAATGTTCTGTATATGATCTGTAAATCTTTCTGTGGATGTAAAAAAAAATGAGTTTAATATAATGATAGGATTTTACGAGAACGTTTCTGTGTGTCTGATAGAAGACATTACACTATGACAACCTACCCAGTGTGCCAAAATGATATGACGACTTATAACTTTATGTACAGTATTTTCTTAATATTTTCCTATACTGTAGCATAAAAGGTTGTGAATTGTATACGACTTTAGTCAAGTTTCCCTCTCCACTTCTTTTTAAACTTATTGGTGAGCACTTGTCCAAGCACATGTTTTCTGCAATAATGCTGTAGTTTGAACGGAAAGGTCTTAGTTTACTTAGTGTCTTTAAAATGCATGTTGTTCTTCCAAAAGATAAGAGCTGAGAGATGAGAGAACAGAGAGCGGGATCCGAGGACTCTTGTCCTACAGTAGAAGGCTAAGTATTTGGATGCAAATACAAATGTGTATACTGTATTCCTCAATGTGAAAAAGACGTTTGGCATGTATTAACAAAAGAATATATATATATAATTCAAAACATCATTGTGGTTCATTTTTATTATTGTTTACTTTAGTTCCAGTGTAATTATGAACAGCATGTCACATTATTTCCAGAGAATGGCACCTGGTTTATTATGTTGAAAAATAGAAGCATGTATAAAGTTTCACAGCTCCCAATTGTCTACTTCAGCCTTCGTCGAGTTCAACAGGCTTTGGTGAGTGTGGTCATTTTAGATGGTTTCCCTCATTTACATTACAAAACCATTTACAATATAAATTTGGAACTTGATTTTGTATATGGTGGTGTTGACCCATATTGAGTGATAGCGTGGAGAGACGCATTTTTGGATAAAACAGAAACAGGAGGTTGCACCCAAACACAGGCGAACACGTTGAACAAATGATTCCAAAATAATTCTTTGATTTTTATTTACTTGGCCTATTTAGTCCCACGTCTCGAGAATTACCTGTCTACAGAGCGTATGCCTCTTGCATCTTTACTAGTAGCTTTGGTACTGTGTAGTGACGGGCAAATGAAGCCTCAAGAAGCACTGAGGCTTTCCTCTTGACTGTTTCGGAAAAAATATTCAAAGCTTCGCGAGTGTCAAAAACAGCGCCGTCTGGTGGTTAATAAATATAGCAGCCAAAAGCCTGTCAAAGACACTCCGTAGCCATAGGACGAAGCAGGACCACAAATTCCATAGATCGACTCATGTTACGTGCACAAATAAAAGCCTAACAGTGTGTGTATGTTTGTTTGTTTGTTGAATTTCCCTCTCTCTGATAAAATAATTTACCCATTAAACTGTGGCATTAAATGCCAATATAAATATCAATATGATGTAATAGAAGAATAATGTACACATAGGCCTATATGAATTGCATATGCGTAACATCACTAGTACTGTAGCCTACATCCCGAAATTCCACAGAACAGCTCCTTCTTGAGATCGGAAACATAAGCGTGACTCTGCATTAGAGCGGAAGTGTTGCTTGCACTGTGCTTTCTGCATCGTAGGGAGGCGTTCAAGTTCACAGCGTTGTTAGAAACGAGATGATTTATTACATGAGTTAACATGTCGTAGGTTGTTTACATGCGTCGTCTTTCAAATAGTACAACAAAAACAACACCTGGATTTCATTATCCTGCGATAATGAAATCTCATTCCCATGACTGGCAACACTTACCAAGAAAAGTAAGGCTTTTCCTAGGCTGTCAAGAGCGTACCATCAAGTGGTGTTAATAATAATAGCAATAAACAAGTTTTATGGTACGAAATGTGTAGAAACATCAGATATATGAAATGCTCAATATTTAGATGTTTACAGAGTATTCTGCTTAAGTGTGTGTTAATAGGATTGTTGATAGTCTCGTGTTGTTCTCTCTACTGTAGCAAAATGTGGCTACGCTTTTTGGCATCATGCCTATGGATAAACTCTTGAAATGGGGTCGCAAGTGTTGTTCCCATATTTTCCTGGAACTGTCTCTCAGTGTGAACCTCCGTGAGTCCGGAGATTACTCCGAAAAGAGTCGTGTAACGTTTGCTCTCATTGGCTAATTTCGCCTTCTCCGACGGCCCTTCGCAAGGGCCCGCCTCAAAACTTCTATAAACCATGCAGGGGCAGAATAACCTCTGCTTGCACGCTTTATTGAAAGAAAGGATTTGAAACGTGTTGCTCTCGTGTGTTAGCCATCAATTGCTCAATGCTTCTATGCGACCAGCTTCCCCTGAAAGCTGAGATAAAAGAATGCATTTCAGGTCGACGGCAGATAGGGGTCCCTTTTCGAGGAAATGGATATTACTGTTTCCATTTAAAGTGGTCGTGACCTTGTGAGGCAGAGTTCAATCATTTGAACACAGTTATATATATATATATATATATATTCTTTAAAAATCTTCTTTTTACAAATGAAAAAGCTCCTTTGGGTGCAGTGTCTACCTATGTTATATGATTTACAGTATTTACTGAATTCTACATTTTATGCTTATGTTAATATATTTTTCACTGCATGGTGTCTGTTAATACAATGTGAAACTGACTCACACTGTTGTTTTTACATCCAGTGACTACATAAATCTGTAAATGCTTATTCTTATAAATGCAAACGTCTACTACTTTTTTAGAAACAACTGTGTCAGCCAGTGCATTGAGTGCACCGGTGCTGGAGGAGGGCATGCTACTACTCTTAGTTCCTGTTATGTTAGCACGCCCCTCATCTGATACTCAGAAGACTATTGGATCCATGACCCCTCAATCTCATGCTACCTCGGTGATTTCTGGTACTGCATTCAAAGCGTCGCTCTTGGACCCCCGTGTCCAATCAGCGACGAGTTTTATGATGACACCTTGGGATTCCGCGAAGTAGTTTCTTTCAGATGAGAAGATCTTTCAGATGAGATGACAGCGGCACAGAGTTGACGCACTTATGAAGATAGAAGGGAATGACAGTACACAAAGTTCCACGCTTTCTGATGTATTTGAAATAATATTGAGAACAAGCACCTGGATGTTTATTCGATAACTTGTGAGTGTAGACGAAAGCGACACACGCTTTTATTCTTCGCTTGGAACAGTAATCATCCCAGTCACATTGGGAACGACACGTGTAGGCGTGAAGCCACGTTTTCCGGAGTCATCTGTATCCCGATGCGCATATGATGAGAATCCCGCTCCCTAAGTTTTAGTGTGTTTAAGTTACAGTAGCAGCTGATTTCTCCATTTCCATTTGGACATTTTGGGTAGGCTAACTACAATGACGGACGCTGATACTGCAGCAAGGTCCTTGGGGCCGGTCTCAAACGGTGACCGCTCAGACAAACTAGCCGGCGAGGAGGGATCTGAAGAAAGTCAAGAGAGCCGGACTCTGTTAATGGTCGCAATGATTCTGCTGGACTTAAATCAGTGTATCCCGAGCGGCATCAGCGGCAAATGCATAGTGAACAGTGATGCGAACAATCCACCCGGCGTGAAGGAAACCCGGGAGAAATGCAGACAGAGCGCGAGCAGGGGGAAAAGGACACGGAACCGCGACAGACTGCGTGCATCCGCTGAGAAGAGACACTGCTGTCCCTATGCTGGCTGTGGGAAAATATATGGCAAATCGTCCCACCTTAAGGCGCACTTCAGAGTACACACCGGTAAGAAAAAGAAAAATGCTTATGTGTACAGTAAATCAACTTACACCGGTGATTCGACTCGGACTGTTCGTGTATCTGGCACGCAGTCTGTTATTACGCCTGTTCTGGGGAACGGTTCGGCTTTGGGAACTGCCACTCATGTAACGGTGGGTGTAACCGCAGGCGGAGCGCTCATGGGTACACACGAGGGCGGAACAGTACACACTGTTACTAATCTAAAGGACACCGTGTGATCAAAAAATTGCGTAATCGTGTGGAAAAAATTCTAGAAGTAGCCAGGTGTCATTTCAAATTGTCTCAAACTAAATTTTAAACTGCCTTCTGGTTTATGCATCATGAATTAAATGTCTGTTCTATACTGTCCCATTTTATTCTATTCTTTTCTATTCTATAATTAGTCTAATCTCAGTATATTATGGCCGCTGGTCCCTGATGATCCGCATACTTCAATGCGACACGCACTAAAATAGCCTAACAACGCAACGGTGACGCGATTCACACACCTCCTGATTCCACCGTTGTAAACATTGGGCACGTGGTGCAGCACTGAAGCCAAGCGCAGCCCCGCCCAGACAGTGAGTGCGTTCATATCCACCGCCACCTAGGCCTATCAAAAATCAGCGTTTTCTTCGGTTTTGACATTCACAGACGCAAACCGAACAAGTTGCCAAAACGCCGGTGAAGGTACTTACATGCATGGGGAAAATCTAGATGTGCCGATTGTTTTTTTTTTTGTTTTTGTTTTTTGCTGCTGGCTGTCTTTCTCAGTTGAGGCTGAAATAACAACAGTCTTAAATTTCTCGCTCCGTTGTGTGTGTGTGTTTTTAGGTGAGAGGCCCTTTCAGTGTACCTGGCCAGGCTGCGCAAAGAAATTCTCGCGGTCGGATGAACTGACGCGACATTTTCGCACGCACACCGGGGAGAAGCGCTTCATGTGCCCGCTCTGCGACAAATGCTTCATGCGAAGCGATCACCTCACCAAGCACGCCCGCAGACACGTCGGCTTCCACCCCAGCATGCTCCAGGGTCCCGCCGGGCGAAGACGACACTCTTCAACGTCCACATCGTCCTCTGGCTCCAGCGATCACGTGTCTGCTGGTGTTTGAGCAACCATGTGACCCCCCCACTGCACATTTTGGATGTCTCTCTTTCCTGAGGCTCAGATCTTGGAGCTTCAGGTGTTACATAATGGAGACATACAAAATATGCTGTGCTGGAGTTCTCCATGGACTTCTCAATGGAATGGACAGAAATCATCAGATTTAGGCAGAAACAATGAACATTTACTCTGAGGATTATTTCAAATATATAGGGGTATTTATATCACATATCACAAATATGACATTGATTTCAATACAGAGGAGCCAGGGGATTTATTAGACACCCACTGTGACAAAGGGAAGTAAACATATTCTGAACAATGAAACTATATTATGCGTGCTGAAACCAAGACACATTTTATTGATCACTTTGAAGTGTCAAATTTTGCAGTTATTGGAAGTGGGTTTTTAAATAGTCGCTATGAATGTTTTTGGTTCTTTTGTGTTGTTTACGGTGACAGCGGTTGACTTCAGTGTTGAAGATGGTATTTGTATGATATTAAAATAGATGGGTACTTATGAGATTAACTTTGCATTGTGTTAGGTTTTACGCACACAAACAAGCTTTTGTGTGTTTTTTTTTTTAACAATCGTAATTGCATCTTCTATTCAGTTATGCAAAATAATGTAACTTATTTCATGTACAGCATTGAAAATTCTCTTTATTGAGAACACTTTTATTATTTATTTTTTAACCTTTTTTTTATCAGCCTTCACAAGTGATGTAGTGAGACTTAACAGAAGTTCACTCATTAATAGTTTAGCACCGCCATCTATAGGTGTGTTATGGGAAAACAAACTAAAAGCTGTGCCTTAGATCCATGACTGCACAGCTGAAAAAGACAGAACAAAGATTGTGTATTTCTCCCACTACCTATGGTTTTATTAGCAGCCTGTAGTATTTACAATCAATCAGTGAACCTGAATAACATAGTCTTTTATTAGTTTTGTGAATGGGTTTTTCATTTTCATACAAGTTGACTTCAGAAGTCTTTCCACTGTTCAGCTGTTTACTTGAAATACTCAATGTAATTTGAATCTAGATTTAGTTTGAATCTACCGTAATGATCAGCCATTGTGCTTTAAAAGACACAAGCACAAACTGAATTTTACATGTGAATCAACAATCAATGCATCTATTGGATCTTTATTCAATAACAATTGTATAGATTTTTATATTTTGTGTTATGATAACAGATCAACAGATGTTTGGCTTTTATTGTCACATAGTATCTGTGCTAATTTATTGTTCAGCTGTTCCATATGTTTAGTAGGTTGTGAGCCTGAATTCAAGAAGCAGGTTATTTGAAACATACTGTCATTGTATCAACCTGTGCCTTGTTTTGAGCTTAAGAACTCTTAGATTGCAGAATGTAATTAGCAAGTTACTGAGAAGTACTTTGCTGTAATTTACAAAACTCTTCTCAGTTGTGTAGTGTGAATGCAAGTGTTGTGATGTGTATATCTGTGTCTTACAGACCTTACAGGCCACTAGTGTTGTACATATATGTGCTGTACTTTTCCATCAGTATCATTTATGCAACATTCAACTGCTTTCATAACCTATAAATTATGTATGTAGAGGATTAATTAAAACAAAGAAAAGTTCATTCAGGTCTGCTTTTATTGATATCACTGAAACCAATGACAACATTGTTAATACATAAATGGACTTTCTCACATAATTAACATATTTATAACATAAAAACACAGCTTTTGTCCAACAAACGCTCACCTTTGATTACGCTTTGAATTGAATACATCAGGTCATTACACTATTTTAGTCATAGTTAAAACGCACTAAAGAGTGAATATGAGCAGTTCGAATGAAATCAGTTTCTTGATCAAGACAGTAGAGTGTAAAGATAACACATAAAATGTGTTTGGCTTTCAAAGCTGAATGGAAGGGAAAAATCTGTAAAAGGATTTCATGTGTAGATGAACAGTGCCGGTTCATCATTGACAGCTTGAATCATTTTTAATAATAACAATAATGAATGTCAGGGATTTGATCAATTTAGCAACATTAACATTCTAGGTTTAGTTCCAAAGACCAGCAGAAAACAATGCTTTTAAACAGCCCACAACTGATTTTCATGAAATTCAGTGATGTATCCTGATCGGTGGTATGCATATAAAATGCTAAATTAAAATGAACATAGATTCCAACAAGGAGCATAAACATTCTTTGGTGCCTTCATGTCTTTGAAATCTGAACATCTTCCAGAATAAAACAATACTTATTTTAAGAAAGCTTACAGGAAGTGTAAATATCTAATACGTTTGGTCATTCTGTCCAAGAAATTAAACTGCATTTCCAAAATGTCATAACAGTTATTAAATCATACCCAGTGATTTCTGACCTTTGAAAAACTGCTTTGAGAGACAGAAAGGTCTTCATGTAATCATTTTATCATCTGTTGTGAGAGGTTACTGTGAAAATAACAAATATCTAGACCTTGACCAATCAAATAAAAAAGGGTTGCTGTTTTTCGTTTTCGTTCATGACTCATTAGCATCTCAATTCCAGCGTAGCTTCAAACGTGATTCAATTAAATAAACGTGTGTGAGATATCAAGAGTAAACAAAAAGTGTGATGCCCAGGTGCATGCCAGACAAGGCTACTGTTAGCGCTGCAGTACGAATGCACCAACATGCAAAATGTTCAACAGAAATGAATCCAAGTATAGCCTCAATAGCAGCCATGAACAATAAACTTCCAACCAGATCCGTACGGAAATCAAATCTTACCATAACGACAACATTAATGCAACGAGTGCAACATGAAAGCAGAGAATTCAGTGGATAAGCTATTTCAAACTCTCTGTAACATCAAGTTGTTTTTAATTCACAATTAAAGCCATCTGAATGCTTTATTTGTTCTACGTTCACTTGTACAGTATAACACAATGCCAGCTAGGAGGTGAAAGTGAGCAGACTCTCCTAGCGTATTAGCAAACAGTGCATATCCTGCCATAGGAGGAAGCAACCAATAATAGTCATGTTAATAATCATATGTTAAGAGTACATGTGTCTATGTGTGTGCATTAGCGCATGTAATGTGTTTTGTGTGTGTGTGTGTGTGTGTTCACATTTTCCTGTACACCATGTTCATCATAACGTTTTCTGTACATTTCCCTCTGTAATATTGATTAGATGTCTTATCTGAGGTTATGAAAGGGAACGAGGGAGGGGAAGAGAGAGAGGGAACACAGGGAGGGGAAAAGGTGACAGATTTACTGGATTTGACAAGCAGTGGAGGAGGTGGCTTGGCAGCACATGCAGGTTGAGTTAACGGATTTGGGTGGTATGAGGTCCAGGTCTTCATCATCAGGGATCTCATCCAGCCTGTAGCCATCTTTCAGTAGCTGGATGTTCAGATCCTGGTTTATCTGCTGCAGGAAGCAATGAACAGCATGTCAGGCCGGGCTGCATAACCGCCACTAATTAAATCATATGAATGAATTCAATACTCCTGGCAGCAGTTTAGATTAATAAGACAACAGGGTTGGTTCAATAGCTTGATTTGGACATTTATTGGTTTAATGAATCAATGACATGAACAACAACATGAAGATAATTAGCAACAACAAATGAGCAATGGTGACCTTTAAAGGAATAATTCACCCAAAATTAAAATTTGCTGAAAATGTACTCATCCGTAGGCCATCCAAGACGTAGATGAGTTTGTTTCTTCATCGGAACAGATTTGGAGAAATTTAGCATTACATCACTTGCTCACTAATGGATCCTCTGCAGTGAATGGGTGCCGTCGGAATGAGAGTCCAAACAGCTAATAAAAAAATTATAATCACATGCAGTCCACCAATTAAAGTCTTGTGAAGTAAAAAGCTGCATGTCTGTAATAAACAAATTCATTATTTAAACCATAGTTTATGGCCAAAATATTGTTGTGGAATTGTTTTGGACTGTTTTGCTTGCAAAAGGTGCTTGATGTGTGCATACTTTTTCCTGCTTCAGACAAGATGACTTAGACAAAGCAATATTATTGATAGAGGACTTGTATTTTAGCTGGAAGCAATGGTTTGACATTAAAAACATCTTAATGGTGAGTTAGTGTATTAAAAACATGCAGCTTTTCGCAAGATCTTAACGGATTACTTGTGATGTTTTCATCGGCTGTTTGAACACCCATTCATTAGTAAGCAAGTGATGTAATGCTAAATTTCTCAGATGAAGAAACACACTCATCCACACCTTGGGTGGCCTGAGGGCAAGTAAATGTTTAGAAATGTTCGTTTTGGGTGAGCTATTCCTTTAAAGGAAAACAAAAGAGAGACATTTAAGACAAAAGGGAATTTAGAGCATACAAGATTGTGAGTGACATTTGAGAAGGAAATCTATTGTCATGATGCTTGTGGTATGGGGCTTAGGACATTAACCAGAGTTCATAGGTACCTGTTCCCTTAGAGACCTCACCTCGGCTGACGAGTATCCTGACGAGGAATATCTAGACATGTCAAAGTCGTCATCACTGTAAGGAAAGTGAAAACAGTGAGGCCTGGGGCCAATGGGGGCGTAAATCAGTCAGTAAAGGATGAGTGAAGAGCGCACCTGTCTGTGTCTAGAGCAACTAAAGGTTTCTCATCTGGACTCTGGTCTAAAGAAGAGTAGCCTTTATTGGGAACCACTAGCCTGGATGGTAAGAGAAATGGAGATAGGTTTTTAAAATAAAACAGACTATGTATACAGTGAAGACTGTGATCATTTTCTCTTGTTTGTACCTTGTTCTGGCCATCACATTATTTTTCTTGGGTTGCTGATTGACAGGGCTTCCAGCATTGCCATTTTTCAGTGATCCTTTCCTAACCAACTCTCTCTGTTTGTCTTTACAGAGCAAAAAAAACAATATTAGACATGTTTATATTTTAACCATGTCATAGAAACAACACACAATTGCAAAAATTGCTTTAAATAAAAACATAGCATTGGCATTTGGCGATATAAACAATACCACAACTCACCTATCTTCATATGGAGAGGAGAAGGTTTATAGTTGAGGGTGGCAGGTTCACTCTCCCTGGTATCTGAGTCTGTCTCTGATGTAGTCGATGATGCTGGATCCTGCTGGGAAAGGGGAAAAAAATAATGAAGTGTCAAGGCAGTCTAGTTTTATCGATTAAGTCCATTTTATTTGATGTCTGTTTTTCTTGACAAGAGCCTTGCTCTGTCCATTTTGATCAATGTGGATGAACAAAGCTTTACTTTATTTCTACTGTTTGATTTCTCCCAGCTCATTATGACAACCTGGGATTGATGTGAAAGGAAACACAACATTTTCAGAAGCAAAGGGAGCAATTTGCCAACTTCAAATATGGAACAGGCCAAGAATTGTGGCAAATCATTTCAAAATTTCAAAAGCCTAAATCTATTCAAAGTGGAAATAGGATGAAAAAATATAGGTGCAGTGCAACACATTTTGATACATTGAGCGCAAAAACGGTACATATTATATTGTTCATCATAATATATAATATAATATAATATAATATACAGGGTTCCCACTCTTTCATGAACACCAGATTCAAGGACTTTTTAAAGCACCATTTATTCAATTTCTCAAATATTGATAAAAATATATATATTCTTGCATCAAATTGTTTTTTTGCTGTAATTCTTGTAAAAGATTTTTAATTGAATAAAAAGTGGTTAAACAGGGCTCTACGCGTACTTTTCTTTTAAAATGTAAAAATTTTTTGGAGCAGTCAAATATTTCAGGAGCACCTTCTAATCAATAATATCAAATATTAGCCTTCCCATTACGAGATGATATTTGACTCCTTAAAGTGATTTACAGGGAATTTAGTTTTTACACCCTTGTAATGGCATTTTTCTAACTTTATTAAAAGTATGTCATCTTTTATGTCAAATTCAAAAATCATATTTATAAGCTTTTTAAAATTTCTAATTAAAACAACAGAATAAAATCAAGTAAAATAAGAATAAGTTACCAATCAAATAAAATCAGTATTAAAAAAAATTATTTGTACCACAGAGTTGGCACAGAAAAACACAAAAGTGGCTTGTAGGGGGATTTTCAGACGTTTAATGAGGCTCAGAGGTGGCATGAGTGCAATTAAATTCATAAATTCATGTGGAGATTAATGTTTT